GAGGTGCAGCGTGGATGCGGGTCTGGCAGCAGCAAGCGTGAGGCAGGGAGGAGGTGCGGCATGTGGAGCGTGGATGCGGGCGGGTCTGGCAGCAGCAAGCGTGAGGCGGGGAGGAGGTAGGGTTGCCACCTTTTCTTCAAGCGAAACCCGAACACTATAGCATCGCACGGGCATATTCTTTTGGGAGAATGAGTCGTGGCTTATTCATATGTAATGGGCACCACCCATAAATATGTAAATAACACAGTTGAAACTATTTTCAGTGAGGGGCCAGTAGCCCCTATCTTAATTTTGGGAGGAGGGGAGGAGGTCCCTGGATCCACGGACAAGCGCGGCCTTTCGTCTCCCACGCTGTTAGAAGCTGCGTACGGCGATCAGTCAGTGTTATATGGTTTGTCTCAATCCCTGTAACTGGCACTGTTGTTGGACAGCTTGGCCTGAATGTGAATGTGTGTAAAAATTTAAATGAAGGCCTGTAAAATAAAAAGGGATTCATATACTGCATACTCCTTACAGGTATTACCCCCATACAGTCACCATAATACAATACTTTCCTCTATAGTTGTCCTTTAAAGTCTGCCCAGCAGAAAAAGAGAATGTGCATAAGCAATGTTAGTACATATTAAAACATTAGAAGGTGTAATTATTGATTTAATTCCTTTTGTAGAATTCTTGGCCCATATACCAGACTGTACATAATACACCTATAACAACATTGCAGCTTGATACACTGTGGCCATAGTTACAGACAGAACACCCGGCAGGGGAAAGGCATTGACTTTACAAAGCACAAAGTGATACAATGTCCAATGTACAGGAAACCAGGCGGCACCTCAAACAACAACAACAACCGATAGTCACTGATTGATTGGTGGTCTGGGCAGGGATTACAGATCAATCAATAATCTGTTTCCACAATCCAGCGCGCCGGGTTGCAGTAACTGAAGCGTGGAATTCTGGGAGATTTGTATTTTCCCGTTCCCACTTTGTCATTGGTTAATTACTTTACTGATTCATTGGAAACATTGTTGCTGCTCGGCCTTTTGGTTAAGATCAAAAGGCTGTTGTATAAAGGCCGTGACACACTGCACGCGAAGCAGCGCGGAGCGGGGGCGCGCTGCCTTTGCGAGCAGTGTGTCATGTCATTTTCTGCTCGGCACCTCAGCTTGCGAGAGCTCGCGGAGCTGAGCGTGCCGAGATGAACAATTTCAACTTCAGCCAATCGTCTCGCGCGTATAAACGAGCGCTTCGCGATGCGACAGCTGGCAGGTTGTTACGGACGAGCCGATTGGCTGAAGGTGCTGTCAATCATCTGACTGCACTCAGCTCACACACTGCACGCAAAGCTCCGTGCCGGATAGCTTTGCTTCGCTCTGCACGGCTTCGCGTGCAGTGTGTCACGGCCTTAAGCATCCAGCCCAGCATACAGCTAGGCGATTGCCAGTCACACAGCTTTCCCGCCACTAGATGGAGCTAAAGAGCATAGCTA